ATATTCCAATATGTGGGGTTTTCTGTTTGGAAAAATTGTGCCAAGCTTCCACTCACCAAAGATGGAATCCTGACAGGCCAGTTTCTAAGAGAGAGGACACATCACAAAATAAAAGTCTTCCTATCCCAAATTTGACAACTTGGGGAACCAACAAGATAAGCCAGCACCAGTTGGAACCTGGCACCTAAGGGGATGATGTCATCATGAATGCCATGTTGGTGGTGACACATTTTGTGTCACAAACAGCAATACATGCCACTGCTGTGGATTTTCCTTTTTTCTTAAATGAAAAAACTGCCAATAAATCCCCTGGTTGTTTCTGCTTCCCTGCAAACTGTCCTGTCCTTGTGCCTGACAATCTTGTTATGAATCATGGAACATTCTGGACATGGAACATTCTGGAATATGATGAAAGGTCATAATGTCATGGAATATTATGGAGCATCACAGAATATGCTGAAAGGTGGGGTTCTGGAGAGTGTTCTGTTTTTTCTATATAAGGAGGCCTTCCCACTTGGGAAATGCCTCAAGTGAATTATTGCACAGACACAATCAAGGTACCTCCTAATCCCTGTCATTGTTCCCATCCCAAACCAAGCCTTGTCCCTTGTCCAAGCTACCACTCTTCTTGTCCTGGTACAAGTCAAGCATCCAGTCTAAAATTTCCTCACATGAAGGAGTAATAGAATTTCAGCAGTTTTGATTCTCAGTTCCCAATTCAGTCAAATTTAAAGCTTCCTGCAACCAAACTGACCTGTTGGGAGCTTTCCTGCAAGGAACAGTAAAAGGAATGAGAAGCCATTTTACCGCTAGTTTTGGTGCAACCATTCAGAACTTGTTCTCAGGTATGATTTTCGTTTGTGGTTGATTCCACATTTTTCTTTCGACAACGCGATGGGACACTCAGTTTGTCTTCCAATTCTTCTTGCCCTTGCTGCATCGGTCTCGAGCAGCTGTGGAGATCCGTGTATTGCCATGCGTGGTGCTGGTGAGTAATCCCTGCTGGACCAGCAGAGGAGTAGCCAAACTAACAAGTTCTCCAGTCTCCTTACACCTTCCGTCCGCGCTCAAACAATCATCGGAACATCTGCTAGCCGACTGGAACTCAATCGGAACGATACTTGCAAAGTCGCATGGCGTCTCCAGAGCCCTTAGGCCATCAACAGAAAACGATTTTGAGCTCGACCCTGCCTACGAAACAATCGGCTCCAGTGATCCATTCGCATCTGGTCCACCTGCTGGCATTTTAATTTTCCTCGCTGGGTTGAACGCAGGTATTTTATTCTCGACTGTTATTTTTAATAATGGAACGTAGAGGATGTCGACTTTCCAGCTGCTCTTCGCTCTATCACAACGTCTTCCGCAGGAGCAGTATCAAATTATTTGACCGAATTTACTGGTCTGATCAGTACCCATCATATGCCGGGGCGTTCAAACATTTTGTCAATCTCGTCGGGATGCGAAAGCCCAGAAACCGCGATTCCGGGCGTTTCGCGCGTTATCTTAAAGAAATCTGTGAGTGTTTGCAACTAATTTTCTTCTCACAATGGTAATCGCTGTAGAGTGTCGCGTCTTTTATTCCCGACACTGCTGCGCAAGGTGTGAAGTCGATTATTCTCTCGCTGTCGAAGACGGTGTACAAAAATGTTGAAGTCCAATTTCGGGAAAGATTCGGGAACATTGTTAATATTGATTCCCTAAAAGCATCCGAATCAGTTCTGTTTCCTAAAGTTATATTTTCCGCTGACGCACCTTTCACAGGAAGACAAACTGTTCATGATCGAAGCCAACTTTTTCGGATCCCTTTTCGAATTGTTTGAAAAAAATTCTCCCGAGCTATTCAATTCAGTAGTGGATGGAAATCTGCAAGATTTTTTCTGTTTTTCACTTACGAGACTTCTGGTGGGATTTCGAAATATTTTCAATGAGTGTTGACGTGTTTATTTGGAGGCAATCGCCGACAAGTATGGGGTTCACTCTTCCCAGTACATCGCTTCCTCCAAGGTGTTACAGGCTGTCTTGGCGCAAGTTAGTATCCTAAATTGTGTAATTCCGTTAAAGAGCTTCGTTTGAAGTCGATCAGGGCTTACAAAAAAACCTATCCGACTGCTTCAATTCAAATTCTTTCGATGCCTCCAGAATTGAGTTTGAATTCCGCAGACATTGGCAAGCGCGATGCAATAGAAAACTTTTTTATGAAACGAACCGCCGCTGTGAACACGTTGTGCCCACAACATTTCAGCGACTGCATGACGTATGTTTCTTCAATCAAACGAATATATTGCTTAGTTTTGTTGAATAGATTGAATTCAAACTGTTCGAATCATGGAACATGCACTTTGCTGGCCAATCCGAAGAACGCAAATCAGACTTGCTTTTTCTGCAGTTGCTACACAAACAACACTGACGATAATGGTGACTTGATCATCGGCGGATCCCACAGGAAAGTTTATTGGTCAGGTCCGACTTGCGCCAAACAGGTAAAATACCGCTGAGTTATTAAGAACTAGCCTGATCAATCGAGAAGGATATTTCTCCTGATTTTCATTTGCTCCTGTGGACAACTATTGGTTTGGGCGTTACACTTGTGTAGGTTGATTCTGCCAACATCCAACTTTTAAAAATTTGGAATAGTTTCGTAGTTGGACTCCTCGCAAGTGTTGGTGGCGAAGATGGTTATGCCTCTGGTGCAGGTGCTGGAAAACGCAAAGAAGATTGAATCACATTGTTAAAAAACCGTTTCAACTTTGACTCAATTCACATTTCAACGAGCCTTTCTTCGAACAACCTTTAATTCAGCTCCCAAAAATGGAGAAATCATAAAATTACGAGGTACATAACATTGTCATGGTTTCTGTGGGGATCGATCCCACGACCTTCTCCGTGTAAAGGAGATGTGATAACCACTACACTAAGAAACCATACATTTTTGAAACTTTTAATAGTATTAGTTGATGTTATTTAACCAAGAAACTAACGCTTTGTCCACGTTGGTTATATGGATATGGAAATTCGATTTTTCGTGGTTTCACAGAGCTTCAGATTGTCAAAAAATCGATGAGTTTAATGTTCAAATCCTTTAATCCGAAAAATACACCAGAGTCCGAACAAGACTGTGAACTTGGATATTAATCATTGAGTGTAGAAAAAAAGATAGCAGCGTCAAACATGTGAATGTTCAAAATCAATGCAATTACTTATAGGTATACCTGACTTTCCTCATCAGTTTTATCTTAAAAAAGTTTCACTTTTCCACAACAGTTGGCTGATTTGATTCAATGTGTGGTCAACTGTTGCTTCTTTGGTCGCTATTGCCTGAATGTATATAGCGACGTGATGCTTATTCATTTTTGGGACGGCAATTCCAACAACAATCGCCTTTTTTTAAACCTTTTATTACAGGGTTGAAAAATTGTCAGATCAACTCCTGTTTGACCAATGTATCTCGGCTGCAACACGACTACAACCACAATTCACATAGTCGAATATAAGACCGTCGCGCGATCGATAGTCCCGTCAAATTCCGTTACTCTTCTTAACGGATCCAGCGAAGAATTTGTTCTTGTAAACGACCGTGATTCACTCGTTGACATCCGGGACGCGTGTCCAGTTTGCTTCAATTGTGCCGCACAAGTAAACACGTAAATATGTGCACTTTATCAGACTGCTTACAGCTTTTTCTTAGCGTTGCTCCAATTTTGGGAATTGCGGGGGAAGCGTTTGCACTTGCCGAACCGGTTTTGGCGGTGTCGACTGCGGCACACCATGTTTGTCATTATGCCGTTTAACTCACATAGTAAATGCCAATCGACAGTGTGTGGTTCATCTAACACGCCGAACGCTCAGAGGCCATTGCGAACGTCAAACCCTTGCGGATGCGATTCAAATTTTGTTGGTATTAATTGCAACAGTAAGAGTTTCTGAAAGTGCCGGTCGTATGTAATTTTTCCAATCCGAATGAAGTATGTACTTCAAGCTCTGATTGCCAAATTTTGGCGTCAGTTGAAACACCAATATGCAACAAATCTCCGAGGGTTTTTGGTTCTAGTACCATGCAATGCCAAATAAAACGTGAGCTAATCTTTTCTTTACCCTTACCAATCATTTTCCGCAGAGCCATTGATACAAATATACTATCCTGGACTATCTCAGATTTTGCTGGATCGAGATAGAACGTCGATGACCGCTCTTGGCAGCTGTTAGAAGAAAATTGTGTTGGATTGAAAATTAAACAAATACAAACAGACTGGTACAATGGCGATGAGCAATTCAGTTGCTTGATGACATCTTGTTCTCAGTATTTGAACAATGGCTTGTACTCGTGGTTCTGTAAAAGTCTGTCTTGCCAATGCATTCAAAATTCGGTGTTCTGCGGAGGTGCTCTTGCGGGACCAATCGCAATTGCAAACGGCGGATTTCTATTAACTTGTGAATCGAATGCTGAGAATTGTACAGCCAGCTGTAAGTTCTGATCGAGCCTTTGAAAATTAATGATTCGTAGTTGAATTTTTGACAAGCATTTTCCCAAATGGAGTGAATCTCAACCCGTGTACCTTTGGAGAGTGCACAGTTCCATCAAGCGATCCTGATTTGGCTGATGTGGGAAGCAACGGTCTTTCTTTGATGGCGGTCATATTGATTGGTGTCGGCAGTGCACTTGGATTTTTCCTTGTTGTTGGTGAGCAAATAAGCTCTATATCATATTTGAATCGTATTTTATTAGGATTTGTGTGGTCTCTCTCGCACCATATAAGGGCAAAATTTCAGCCGACGCCACCAGAAAAACATGGCGTGTCTATTGCGTTTGAAAATGTTGGATATACTTTGCCCAATAAGAAGCCCATCATTAAAGATGTGTCTGGAAACGTCCAACCTGGACATGTACTGGCCATTATGGGGCCTTCTGGTGATTTTCGCGGATTAATAGCCTGAGAATTAATGTTTTCAAAGGTGCTGGAAAATCAACTTTCTTGGATATCCTTGCTGGAAAAACTAAGTCTGGGAAAATATCAGGAAGCATTCAGTGCGACAATGTTATCGCGACTGCGGCCATGATGAGAAACCTGATCGGTGAATAGGGCGCCTTTTCCAAAAACCAATAACTTTCACCAACGTAGGCTTCGTTGACCAGGAAGATATACTTATGCCAACGCTGACCGTACGTGAAACGCTCATGTTCTCTGCGCAACTTCGCCTGCCAGAATCAGTTTCGCGACGAGAAAAGCGCGCCCGCGTGGAAGAAGTCATGGCAACACTTGGACTCACGCATGTTGCTGATGTTCGAGTGGGTGGAAGTGGCGGTGGAGGCCGAAGTGCCCGAAGAGGGATTTCTGGTGGCGAAAAACGGAGAGTTAGCATTGGTGTCGAACTTGTAACTAGTCCTGCAGTGATCGTGTTGGATGAACCAACAAGGTGAGCTATCGCCAGAAAATTATCTGAAGTGAATTTGCGCGGTGGTATAGCGGGCTCGATTCGTTCAATGCACTTGCCGTCATCAGAACTTTGTCAGACTTGGCACACAAGTCGCAAAAAACAGTTATTTTTACAATACATCAGCCGAGGTTCTCAGAGCGATTCTATTTGTTCAAGCTGAAATTCAAACAGATCTGATGCCTATATCCTATTTGACCAGGTTTTGGTCCTTTCGAAAGGGGAACCTCTTTATTTTGGTCCAGGGAAAGAAGCAGCGGCTCATTTTAAGGCAAAAGGATATCCGTGCCCGCATGGCTACAATATCGCGGATCATTTGTTAGACATGGCTTCAAGCGATTCGATTGTTGGCAAAAAACCTCTGTCGGCCTCTACAGAGATGATTCGCATGATTTCTGCTGGTTCGATATCACTTTCTGATGGGAATGCTACAGTAGGCCGCAGAAATAGCTCAGTAGAACTTGAATACGAGAGAGTCCAGAAAACCGAATTGCCCACCGCGGACATGGAGCAAGGATTATTGTCATATCAAGATGCAAATCCAGAATCTGGAGTTTCGCTTTCGCGAAGGATTTCAAGTGCAATTTTAGGTATTCCTTTCCAAATATGAAAAGGCCTGAAAGAGTAATTTAAAGAAACTCTGGTGCCCGTTGAAAAACCGAAAAAGGCCAAATCGATGCGAGTTGGCTTTGTTACCCAAACCCTTATTCTCTCCGGAAGAAATTTCAAAAACCTGATCAGGACTCCCAGTCTGTTACTTGCTCATATCATGTTCTCTCTAGTGCTTGGAGGTTTCATAGGCGGTCTTTACTACAATTCGGGAAACACCCTTGCAGGCGTTCAAAACAGATTTGGTTCAATTTTGTTCATTCTTGCTGTTTTGGGTTTTTCGGGTTTGTCAGCGATTGGGCTTTTTGCGAACGAGAAATTGCTATTTGTTCGAGAAAGAGGAAATGGGTTTTATGGTCCAATATCTTATCTCTGCACAAAGGTAACGATCGTGTGCTTTCACTCTCTAATAGTTTTAGATATTTTTTGATGTAATCCCCTTAAGAATCGCCCCGGCAGCAATAATAGGATCTATTACATTCTATTTGATTGGTTTCACAAAAGATGGCAATCGTTTCCCACTATTTTTGGCAATTTTGATGATATTTTCGACTGAGATCGGTCTTTTGTGCTTGGCGTTAGCCATCTCATTAAGTGATGTTGGAACAGCCACTTTACTCGGAACGATAATTATTTTGTTCAAACTCTTGTTCGCAGGATTTTTGATAAATCAAAGTTCGGTGGTTTCCACCCCATTTTCACAATCGTGTTGAACTATTTCATATAGACTCTATTCCATCGCAAATTCAATGGATTCAATATTTGAGCTTTTTCAAATATGCATACGAAGCCATGGTCATCAATGACTTGAATGGCCTTCAAATTCAAGACACCGTCAATGGAGTCGTGTTGAATGTGAGTGATGAAACTTTTGCCAGTTTCTCAAGCTTGACAGATTCCGGCATCTGTTGTGTTGACCAAATTTGGGTTTGATATTTCTGCATATTGGCGAGACCTGGCGGTTTCGGCTGGTATTGCGATTGGGTTGTTGGTGATAAATGCGGCACTGATGCAGTTTAAGCTCAAAGAAATGAGATGAACATTTATTTTTTGGTCATCAGGTGAAATACACATCACAATGCGGTTCCGCGCTCAAAAGCCGCCTTGATTTCTTCAGTATGCTTATCGTATGCTCGCGCAATCTTTTTGTTAAAGCGCATATTCCGCTCGTTAATATATGTGACATCATCGTCAGGGTTGTACGCGCGACGCTTCGAAAATGTTTTCCTAACTTCCGTCTGCTTCTCGACATCCTTCACCAATTTCGCCACTGATTGTTGAGAGGGTGTGTTGTCAAGCGCAGCATATGCCAAAGCATTTTTGTCGACAGCGGCAGTCGAACTAGCTTCGGATGCTATTGACGCAACGAGTTTTGCATCTGAATACTGCTTCTTGTCGATAGTGCGTGCGAGGGCATCTGTCAACTTTTCGTACTTATTTGCTGCTGCCTGTGTGTAGTCGGAAAAGGCGACGTTTGCAATGCGCTTTTCTCGAGCCTCTTCTTTCTCGGAGTACCGTTCGACGGATTCCACCGAGTAAGTAAAGGCACGCACACGCTCGTAATCGACTCCCGAGTCTTCGGCATCAGCACGAGCCGCAAGAATCTCTGCCTCGCGACGGGTCTTTTGTGTTTTGATATCCTGACCATGATTGCGCTTGCTCTTCTCGTGGGCGACATGAACGTCCTTCCGATTGTCTTTCAGAGCTGCGGTCTGCGTTGTATCAGTGGAAAGGAAGCAGGTGTCAGCAACGACAAAGCAGAGACAAGCGTCAGCGCACCCGCAGCTTCTTGAGTTGCTCCAGCTTCTTGAGGCGTTCGTCCATCTTGGTTTGCGGGTAATTTTTTCGACTCAGCGAACAGAATCTCACACAGACGCAGACG